TGTCTTATCAAACTTCACCCCAAAGAGAGAGAAACTATCTTGTTTGAGAACAAATAAACAAAAGAAAAAAAAGCAAAGGAAGAAGAATGATTGTACAGTTGATGAACCTTAAGGAGACGGAGCTCTGCCTTGGCCTTCCCGGTGGCGCTGAAACCGTGGAGAGTCCGGCCAAGTCAGGAGTGGGGAACAAGAGAGGCTTCTCTGAGACAGTTGATCTCAAACTCAATCTTCACTCTAAGAAACAAGAACCTATGGATCTCAATGTCGCCGGAACTTCCATGGAGAAGACTCTCCTCAAAGATCCTGCTAAGCCTCCTTCTAAGTAATACTTTTCAATATTTATAATGAGCATTATATGATCGTTATTGAAAGTATCTAGACTAGGATTTGAATTCTACTACTTACGAACTTTTACTCTTCCTTTTCTTTCTTTTATAAACGTGCGTATACATATAAATATACACTTGGATGCATATATAGTAACGTTATTCGGGTGTGTGTTGTTATATTGTATGTAGAGCACAAGTGGTAGGTTGGCCACCGGTAAGGAACTACCGGAAGAATATTATGGCTCATCAGAAGAATAGTGAGGCAGAGGAGGCAATGAGCAGCGGTGGAGGAGGAGGAACCGTCGCCTTTGTGAAGGTTTCTATGGACGGAGCTCCTTATCTTCGAAAAGTTGACCTCAAGATGTACAATAGCTACAAGGATCTTTCTGACGCATTGGCCAAAATGTTCAGCTCCTTTACCATGGGTACGCATTACTTACAAATAGGATTCAATTGTTCTTTTTTTTAATACTATTTGTGTACATTATATTTATTTCCAAAGAACCTTACACTTTTTAACACCCAATATATATTTTTTTTTTGATAATTCGTGAAATACAAAATTATATATTTTGTGTTTGCGGTTACATTTTGTAAAAGTATTTTTTTATTAAAAATATTTTGTAGAGTTTAGAAATGCGATTTTTTTGTTAATTAAAGAGATCATATTCTTGTTTTTATTTTTTGGGCGACTTTAAGGTCATACTCTTTATACGATATTAGACTAATACGATAAATTCGGGGATTATAAATTTTGAAGGGAGTTATGGAGCACAAGGAATGATAGATTTCATGAACGAGAGTAAAGTGATGGATCTGTTGAACAGTTCTGAGTATGTTCCAAGCTACGAGGACAAGGATGGTGATTGGATGCTCGTTGGTGATGTTCCCTGGCCGTGAGTTTCCTCTATCTTCTTGCTTTCATTTATTTGCCTCTTTTATATATATATATCTATCATTATCATCAATAATACACGGCCAAAGCTAATCTCTAACTTGAGAAAATAAATATTATTGAGATTAATTATTAGAACAGACCAAAGGATAATCGAACTCCATGTGTTATAGATATGCGCACAACCATGCTTTGGTTGGCATGGGACAGAAAATCTTTTACTAAATTATCATTGTTTTGGCTCAATTATAGCTGGCACATTTTCATTATTGGAAAATTATTATTTTCAATTTAATTATAGTTTTAGTGACTAATACAGATTAATGTCCTAATGAGAAACAAATTTCGATTACAGGATGTTTGTCGAGTCATGCAAACGTTTGCGCATTATGAAAGGATCCGAAGCAATTGGGCTTGGTATG